AATAAATTTTTTGGGGGCGGGGCTAATTCCCTGCCCCTTGCATGTGGGAAGAGCCTCAGTGGCCTGCACGACCAGCAACAAGCACAAGTGACATCCTGGGACTCGGTGGAGAGGCCACAGACGTCCTGCAGCTTTCCCCTGGGCCTTGGACAGCGCTGCTGCTCGGAACACAGCTGTCCCACTAGGAACAGCCAAAGCCACATGAAGGCACGCCAGGCGGCAACCCCAGCTGACAGCCAGCGCCAACAGCCAAGCCCCAAAGGCGCCTTCTTGGCCACAGGCCCAAGGGGCCCCTCGGAAGGCTGTGGCCCCAGGTGCCAGGTGACTGCGACCGTGAGAGAGGCGATGGCACTCAGGAGGTGCCTCCCGCGGGGCCCAGCCCTGGAGCAGGGGCAAGTGCACTGCTAACGCTGCCCCTGCTCTCGCTCTCTGCCAGAAGGGCCTCTCCTTCCACGGGCCACACCAGAGGCCCTCATGAGACCACCACGGGCCACTCGGGGGAGTCCTCTGGGCTAGCACAACCAGGAGACTTGGGTTCCAGCTCTGCCCTTGACCTGCTGGAGGACCCAGGGCTAGCTCCTTCCCCTATGACCCTGAGTGCCCTCCTCCAGACCCTAACAGGCGCATCTGCTACTTACCCCAGATGTGTGATCCTGGGCCAGTGCCATGGGCTCTCTGAGCCTGTTTTCTTGACTGTAAAATGGGGCTAATTCTCCCCACCTACCAAGATCGGAATGCCCACTCACTGAGATAATGGCTCTCGCTTGCCAGACCACTGCCAGAGCGTTCCAAAATGTGCCCTGCCCAGTCCCGCCCGGTCCTCATCCTCTCTCACCAGGATCATGGAGCCAGCCTCCTTCCGGGCCTGGCCCCAAGTCTTGGATCCTGAAGGATCTTCCCAAGGCCACGACTGGCCCTGCCTCTCCCCTACTCAGAAGTCCTACATGGTTAGTCACCACGCTAGGAGAAAACCTAGCTCCCCAGCCAGGAGCCTGCCCTCGGCTCAATCACCACACTGCCTGCAGCTCGCTCAGGCACTGGGCCTTTGCAACATTCTTCCTTTTGGCCAGCAAACTTCCCCTCTTCCTCCAGGGCGCCTTCCTTGATGCCCCCTGGCTGGGTTGGGTGTCCCTCAGATCCCACTACAACCTTCAGGACTCTGAGCCAGGACCATCTGTGCCCGGGTCTCTCTTCCCTGCAGCTGAGGAGCCCTGGACCTGGGCCTAACTCCCTCCCCAAGACTGCCTAGCACGAGGCCTGGCAGCGAGCAAGGGCTCAGGAAAAGCCAGGTGACAGAATGAAGAAATGCATAAAACAACAACAACAAACCAGTAATGTAGTTGGCAGCTCCCCCTCAGGCTCTGACCAGAGGACCCGAGACCACGCCACACAGGGCCCCACCGTGGTCTGGGAAGGCAGAAGAGCCATTTAGCTGGACAGGCACCCAGACCTCCCAGAATCTCACCAGCCCCTACCAAACTGAAAAGCTCTCTTCCCGGAATCACAACAAGTACATCTTTGTTAACTGCCTGGGAGGCCACAGCTCACCATCGGCCTCAAGTCGTCCCCCCCCCCGCCCCCCCGCCCCGAGTTCAAGGTCTCCGGTTTCTACCCAGCCCCCTCACCATTCTGGACAGAAACCTGATCCCCAAACCTGCTGTTCAAAAGTGAGAGGCTCTCAATCCTGAAGATGTTAGGAGCACAAGGGCTAAAGGGTGAACCTGGTACAACAGCAGGTGTGTCGGCCGCTTGTCTTGTAACAGGGAGGAAGATGCACAGGCCGGGAGGGGAGGGAGCAACCTCCCAGACTCCCCTCTACCCACCGTCCAGACAGCTGGTCCCCAAGGCTCAATGATGAGGTCCCCCAAACATTGCTCCACGCTCTCCATACCTCCCCAACCCCCTGGCCCCTGCTCCATGGAGGTCAGAACCCACCCTCTTCTACAAGACCAAGCCTCCAGCCTGAAGACAATGCCCCGCTCTGGCTCCAAGCACTCCTGCGACTCCCATCAACCCCAGAAGGAAGGCCAAGCTGCTCTGTGGCCCCCAAGGCTCTTCTTCCCCTCTTCAGCTCTGCCTATGGAGTGACCAGAGCAGACAACCTGGGCATGGGTCCTGAGACCTCATGTCTTCACAGAGGCTGCTCCTTCTTCCCACTCAGTAAACTCCTATGCACGCTTCAGAACCCTGCTTCAGGGGCTCCTCTTCCTCGCCCAGGCCTGGCCACACAACCCGTGCATCTCCCTGTGTCGCAGCCCTGAGCCTGCTGGGGGCTGGATGCCTGCGGCCAGCTCCACTGTTCCCAACCTGAGTCTCTTCAAGGCCAGACAACGATTTATACTCCCCCCGTCCCTCATTCTGTTCTCGCCCTCGGCATGACAGGAACAGATCCCAGGTTGGAGACAGACACATCCGCCCCAAGAAACATGCCTTCATCCACACCCCACAGAGCAGCCAGAGATCCTGTTCTAAAACATCAACCAGACCATGCCCTTCCCCTGTTCAGGCCCTTCCACAGCTCCCAGTGCCCCCAGACGACCCCCTAAGCTCCACATCCTGCAAGGGAGGCCCTGCGTGACCCAGGTCCTGTCCCACCGTGACGCCTTCCTGGCCCTTCTCCAGCCACAAGCCCCGAATTTCTTCCTCCACCTCCCGGCTGCCCTCACGCTGGGCCCGACACCCTCCGGCTCCTCCACTGCCTTCCTTACTCCGTGTCTCAGCACCCTGGCTTCTAGGTCCTCAACAGCTCCCAGGCCTCCGCACGGGCCTTCTGCGCCCTCCTGCACAACTAAGCCAGGCTAAGTCAGACGTCTTCTCTGGGGAGTGGGTTTATCTCAAGTCCCTGGCTGAGAGCTGACAGGGTAGTGGCAGGGCCATTGCACAGGTGGGTCCCTCTTTTCTGGAATGCTCTCCCCTGGCCCCCTCCTCCCTGGCTCCCATGGGTCCCTTAGGTCTCAGCTCACACCTCCCCGCCTCTCCCCCGGGGGCCAGGCTCTCCCAGGCCCATTACAGATCACTCTGGGCCATCACCTCCTGTTGCTTGGCTCCCTCCCCACACTCCAAGCCTTTAAGGCACTCAAGATCATCGGACTTGTCTCGGTCTCTGCCACATCCCAGTGGCAAATACAACCCCTGGGGGGAAAAATGCTCTTTTTTAAAGTGACATCAATAATAATCCTAATACCATTTATTGAGCATTGACGATGGGCCAGGCACGCTGAATATCTAGTCTCATTGAATTCCAACAACCCTGTGAGCTGAGTCGTTTTGTTTTCCCCAATGGGGAAGGGGGCAGGGGGGTGGGGGGTGGCTAGCTGAATCTCAGAGGAAATAAGTCACCTGCCCAAAATCAGAAAGCCTACACTAGGAGCCAGGTGATGGCACTCCCCAGCCTGAGTGTCTAACAGTTACGGAGAGCACCCCCTCACTGCTGCTCTGTCTGGGTCTGGCTGTCTCTCCCCCACTAGACTTCAAGGCATTCCAGGGCAGGCCTCAGGTGGGCGGCTACCCTGGGGGTCTTGCACTTTCTACAGCAAAAGGTCTGGAACAGAACGGGGCTCCGGGAATATGCCGAGTGGATGAACGCACAAATAAAGTAGCCAGCGGATGAGCGAGTGACCCACGCGGACCCACTCACCCTCGATGAGCCACTCGCAGTTGCCATTGACGCTGTAGTTGCCCGCACCGTCCGTCACGAAGCCTGGAGCCTCCCGCAACACCTGTCGCTGCCCCTTGCAGTCCCCCGCCCGGACTCCGGGGGACAGCGGGCCCAGCACGGCCAGGACCAGAGCCACGGCCAGGGCCAGGGCCGTGGATAGTGCCCGGCCCTGGGCCATCGTCGCCTCCCGCAACGACCCTTGGAAACGCGAAGGGCCGCTAAGATCCGGAGAGGACCCTCTACCCGGAGTGAGGCCCTGCAAATGCGACCTCTATAGGCTTAGCATGGCCTTGTAGACCCGGCAGGTCTGGGAGACGCAGTCCCTGAGAAGGGGACGGCCGCTGGGGACCGGCTCTGGGAGCCGAGCAGCCGGTCCTACAGACCCAGGGAAGGCCGGGTGCATGGGCTCGCCAGGGACAGGCTCGACCGCTAGGGACCGTAGGGGTCCCCTATAAACACGGGGCCCCATAGAGGGGCCGACCCCATAAAACGGCGCCCAGCAGTTAGATTCAGGCCGCTGCGGGCCAAAACGGACCTTACAGACGGGTGGTCCCCAGGGGGCGAAGGGTTCCACCGCCCGGCAGGGGCCCCCTACAGAGAGTACAGGGCCAGGACCAACCAGGCCCAGACGGTCCCGGAGAGACCCCTCCAGTCAGGGGCGGGGCGCGAGCGGATGCCGGGGACGGCGCCAGCCTTCCGAGGTCCCAGCCCGGACCCCATAACCCTCTATTGCCTTCCCTCACCCACCCGCGCCTCCCTCCCGAGCCGGATGGGCCAGATCAGAGAGATGAGGGGACGCTCGGGCCAGAGCGGCTCCGGGAAGACCCGCTGGGAAGGCAAGGGGGCGGGAGCCGAGCGGCCGCTGTGGGAGGGCGGGCGGAGAGGAGGCGAGAAGTTGCAGCCCGGCAGGTCAGAGCGGCCCTGGGAGGACTGCGGAGCGCCCAGCCCCACCCCTCGACCAGGGGAGGCTTCCGGAAACTTCCCCGCCCATTTTGTCCCTGGGCGCATGCGCAACAGCGACCTCCTCGGGCCCGTGAGGAGAGAATCACACATGCGCAGTGCTAAGAGCGCGACCCAAATTCGGGCTGCGGGAGGCTGAGGGGAGCGTGTACCGCTGGAGGGCGTCTCTACCTCTGACTGGGGGAAGCGAAGGTGAAAATAAAGGGGCTCTGCGAGAAGATCCCCGTCCACAGTGCTCCCCAGATTCTGGGTCGAGACAGGCAGCGCCTTGCCGACATGTTCAGATGGACACGCTGAGGGCCCGAGCCTCAAACGGCTCTTGAGCAGCCCGGCCTGCGGACCCCGTCGAAATGTTAAAGAAAGCCATGTTATAGATAAAAACTCAATGAATCCTCTTTATTTTGGCAAGAATGGGGGTAGGGGGGGGAGTCTTTCTGCCAGGGACCTCAGGAAGGCCCCCGGAGTGGAGATGGGGGCAGACAGACCACGGGTCCGTCCGAGGGAGCGCTTCCGAGTCGAGGCCAGCTGCACAGTGTCCGTCCCTGGAGCAGTGGCTCGGGGTCGCGGAGTCCCGCAGGGTCACGAGCAGGGTCCCGGCGGCCGTCACGGGTATCCCGGAGTCCGGCGGGGTCAAAGGTCTCGGAGGGGGCCAGGGGGCCGGAGATCTCGGAACAGCGGGAGCCCAGAATCCGGCGCCGTTCGGGGCAGGGGCTGAGGGAGGGGACGGGGAGAGCGGCTCCCGCGGGACCGTTTGGCACAAGAGGGGAGGGGGGACAGGGCGCGTTGCTCCCCACCTGGGAGCGTGGGCTGGGTTGGAGGGGGTCGGGAAGGCCTGGGATGGCCCGAGCCCTGGACTCAGGGGAGGAGTTGGGGGCGGGGGAGGGGTCCGGAGCCCAGCTGGGGCCCGGTGCGCGGCCCATGGGACGGGGGTGCTCAGACCGGGGGTGCGGTGCCCCCGGCCGTGTGCATGCTGAAGTATTCGGTGAAGCCGGTGTGCGGCGCCGCCGTCTGGGGCACGAGCGGCTGGTAGGATGGCGTCGGGCCATCCCAGCCCGGGTCGGCCGCCTTGGGGAACCGAGCGGGAGGGGGCGGGGAGGCTGCGCCCGGCTCGGCCATGGTCACCACGCGGCCCCTCGGGGCCACCGCTGCCGCTACCGCTGTCTCCTCCACCTGCTTCCCGGCCTGGGAGGGGGGTCAGGGTCAGAGGCCGTCCGGGACCCTCGGGGAGGGGGGCAGATGCGGCCCCGAAGGCCCGTCCCCCTCCCCCTAGAGGACCCCACCACCCCAGGCAAGGATGCACTTGTCAATCAGGGAAGGAGTGGACGGGAGGGCGCCTGGGCAGCGGGGCCAGGTACTCAAGGGGCGGCGTCGGGGTGCGTGGGGCAAACTCCGGCGGCGGCCGGGGAGCAGGGGGAGAGCCGCGGAAGGCGGGCGGCGGGGGCACAGCGCGCGGCGTCCGTGGCGGCGTGCGCAATAGCGCCAGGACCCAGTCTGGCAGGGTGGGCGCGGGCGCCGGGGGAGGGTCGCGGCGCGGCGTTGGGACGCGGGGCGTGCGAAAGGCGGGGGGCGGGCTCAGGCGCCCGGGCGCGGGAGGCGCGGAGGGTGGCGGCGGGGCCGGGAGCGGGGTCAGGTATTCCAGGGGCGGCGCCAGCAGCTCCTCGGGCGCCGGGGCCGCGGGGCTTACGGAGGAGGTGGGCGGGGGGATGGAGAAGAGCTCCGTGAAGTTGGGCACCGAGTCGCTGATGAACGTCACGTTCCCATAGACGTGCTGCGGGAAGGCCTTGTCCGCCGACTGGCTGCCTGCTGGGCCCGGGGTCCCGGCAGAGGCGATCTGCGACGTGCGCACGTGGTATGGGAAGTTCTTGTTGGCCGCCGACGGGCGAGTCATGATCTGGGGCGAGTGGCCAAGCATAGGTTGGAGAAGCACTGTCCAGGCCCAGGCTGTCTCCTTAAACCTAGGTCCCAAGAATTTCCCTTCGCTTGAGATCCCCACACTTCCGTGCAGCCTTTCGGACTGGGTTGAGTTCTCATAGTGCCCTGGGCTCCAACCTTTTCTCTCTAACACAACTCATTACTCTGCCTCCCCCTGCCCCCATCGGTGCCCTGGTCGCTGGGCTATCCCTGGCTAAAATCAGTGTCCCGCACTGTGCAGTAGCCTAGCCACCAGCCAGCCACATAGAACTTCAATGTAATCAAAATTAAAATTTCAGTTTCTCAGTCGCACTGTTCGCATTTCCAGGGCACAATGCCGCATGTCATGGGTAGCTACCGCAGTGGACAACACAGATTATATTTCCATCAACACAAAACTCAGTTGGACAGTAATTAATAGACTAGAATGTTAGCACCTAGGAGGGCTGGCTGTGGAGTCCTCAGTACCTCAAGTACTTGAATCTCTGCCACCCACTTGGGAGACCCAGGAGCGCTGGGCTCCCGGCTTCGACCTGGCTCAGCTTTGGGCATTTGAGGAGTGAACCAGTAATTGGAGGATTTCTGTCTATCTTTTCAAATAAAATGAAAATACACTTAAAAAAATACAGACTCAACTTTAGGAAGCCCTCAATAAATACCGCTGGAATGTGGGGATGTCTACCCATTTAGCCTGTGAGCCAGGAGGGCAGGGACAGCGTGTGACTCCAAGGCCACATCCTGGAGACAGCACCTTCCCTCCAAGGCTGTGTTGAATAAATGAACAGGAGCTGAAATTCAAAGAGTGGCGGGATGCCAGAGGCGGAGCTGTGCTGAGCACCCACGAGCAGTTTCAGGAGAGAAGCCAGCTGAAGGTGAACTAAAAGCAAGGGCACTGCGTTTGACGGTCTGCGCCTCTGGGCTCTGGGGCGCGCTGATGAAACTCCCCGAGCTGCGCCAGTGGAAGGGCTGCAGTGCCCACTTGGAAACATGAGAAGGCGGAAATGAAAAAGCCTGGCACATGGCCGGGGGTGGGGGGTCTCAGCACTTCCCCTCTTTCTGGGCAGAGCTTCAAGATGGACCAGACGAGGAAGGCGACAGAGTCTACCTAAGTCGGGCTCTGAGGTGGGGACTGGGAGTGCAGCCCCCTGCCTGGCAGCTGAGCACAGGCCTCACCCAGAGCACGCTGCAGGCCCCAGGGGCCTTGGGTGATGCCTGCTTCCCTCCCTGGCTCCCTTTCATGCAAGCCCTTGGGGCCTGCCTCCGCCACCAAAGGCCATGGAGCCACGACAGGTCATCTCCCTACATCTGGCCTTATCTCTACATGCTGGGTGTGATGGCTGCTGCCGATCCTCTCCTGGGGCTGGGAAAATGCGTACGAGTGTCCCTAGCATGAAACAGGCTGGGTGAGACAGGTGCCCAGTGATCAGCCAGTAGATAAATGAATGAACAAGAGAACTGTTATCAAGAAAATGAGATGGACATGGGAGACCTGGATGGAGTTTCTGTCTCCTGCCTTCGGCCTGGCCTAGCCCCTAACCATTGCAACAATTTGGACATTTGTGGGAGTGAACCAGTGGATAGAAGATCTCTCTCTCTCTCTCTCTCTCTCTCTCTATATATATATATATGTGTGTGTGTGTGTGTGTGTGTATGTATATATATATGTGTGTGTGTGTGTGTGTGTATATATAAATATAAACTGTGCCTTTTAAATACATAAATCTTGGGCTGTGGCTTAGTAGGCTTAGCTTCCATCTGTGACACCGGCATCCCATATAGATGTCGGTTTGAGTCCCGGCTGCTCCTCTTCTGATCCAGCTCTCTGCTATGGCCTGGGAAAGCAGTAGAAGATGGCCCAAGTCCTTGGGCCCCTGCACCCATGTGGGAGACCCAGAAATGGCTCCTGATTCCTGGCTTTGGATCAGCCCAGCTCCTGCCGTTGCAACCATTTGGGGAGTGAATGAGTGGATGAAAGACCTCTCTCTCTGTCTCTCCCTTTCTCTGCCTCTCAAATAAATAAAATCTTCTAAAATAAATAAATATTTTTATTTATTTATTTTTGACAGGCAGAGTGGACAGTGAGAGAGAGACAGAGAGAAAGGTCTTCCTTTGCCGTTGGTTCACCCTCCAATGGCCACCGCGGCCGGCGCACTGCAGCCGGTGCACCGCGCTGATCCGATGGCAGGAGCCAGGTACTTATCCTGGTCTCCCATGGGGTGCAGGGCCCAAGCACTTGGGCCATCCTCCACTGCACTCCCTGGCCACAGCAGAGAGCTGGCCTGGAAGAGGGGCAACCGGGACAGAATCCGGCACCCCGACCGGGACTAGAACCCGGTGTGCTGGCACTGCAAGGCAGAGGATTAGCCTAGTGAGCCGCGGTGCCGGCCTAAAATAAATAAATATTTTTAAAAGGAGCAGAAGGTGAGATAGGATCTGAACCAAAACGAAGACTAGGGGCCAGCGCTGTGGCGCAGCAGGTTAACTCCCAGTTCGAGATCTGGCTGCTCCACTTCCGATCCAGCTTTCTGCTGTGGCCTAGGAAAGCAGTAGAAGAAGGCCCAAGTCCTCAGGCCCCTGTGCCTGAGTGGGAGACCCAGAGGAAGCTCCTGACTCCTGGCTTCGGATCAGCGCAGCTCTGGCCGTTGCGGCCAATTGGTGAACCATCAGATGGAAGACCTCTCTGTCTCTCTCTGCCTCTCCTCTCTCTGTGTAACTGACTTTCAAATAAATAAATAAATCTTAAAAATAAAAAACAGGCCGGCGCCGCGGCTCAACAGGCTAATCCTCTGCCTTGTGGCGCCGGCACACAGGGTTCTAGTCCCGGTCGGGGTGCCGGATTCTGTCCCGGTTGCCCCTCTTCCAGGCCAGCTCTCTGCTGTGGCCCGGGAGGGCAGTGGAGGATGGCCCAAGTGCTTGGGCCCTGCACCCCATGGGAGACCAGGATAAGTACCTGGCTCCTGCCATCGGATCAGCGCGGTGTGCCGGCCACAGCGCGCTGGCCGCGGCGGCCATTGGAGGGTGAACCATCGGCAAAAGGAAGACCTTTCTCTCTGTCTCTCTCTCTCACTGTCCACTCTGCCTGTCCCAAAAAAATAAATAAATAAAATAAAAAACAAAGACTAGATTTGGTGCCAGGACCATTGTGCTGCCTGGATCTTGACAGCACTGCCACCACTGCTGCTGCCTGGCCAGGAGCCCCAGCCTCTGCCATCCCAGCTGTATCCTGAGCAGCAGCTTGTGGTGGGAGCGTGTGTGTCTGGGAGAAGGGTGGTGTGGAGACTAAGGGGCTTGGGGAAGACAGTGGGGATACAAAAGAACATGTGAGAGTCTGGGGACCGGTGGTTAGGAATGGAAGTGGGATGCAGGTTCAAAGAAAGAGAGTGGATTGGAGAAAGAGGCCAGGACACAAAGTAGAAGAGGGGAAGAGAAGAGGGCGGATTTGGGGGAGCAGTCGAGTGGGCCGCCGGGACCCAGCAGATTCTCACTAGGTGTCTGGTGAATGACTGGAGAAAGAAGAAATGGATCAAGGGCTCGGGACAGGAGCCCCAGGCATCCCCTGCCCTGGTTTCCCATCCTCACCAGAAACACGCCGTGGGCGTACAAGTGGATCCCCAGCTGGATGCCATTGACGATCTTCTCCCGGGCCCACTTGGGGATCCCGAAATTGGCAATGAGGGCCATGACCGGAACTGCAAAGAACCTGAAGGAGAGGTATCGGTTGATAGAGACACTGCTCCTGCCCTCCACCCCAGCCCATGACCCCACCTCCCCTGCCACGCACACACACGTTCCACAGTGGGACTTTCAGAAGCCACAGGCTTAAAGAGGGTCTGCAATCCTACTGGTCTGGGAAATCCTAAGGGGCGAGGATTAGGTTACATTTAATTCAGCTGGGGCCGGCGTCGTGGCCAACAGGTTAAGTTGCCACCTGTGATGCCAGCGTCCCATATGAGCACTAGTTCAAGTCCAGGCTGCTCCACTTCCAATCTTGCTGTTACTTGCCTAGGAAGGCAACGGATGATAGTTCAAGTACGTGGGCCTCTGCCACCCATTGAGAAGCCAAGGTGGTGTCCCAGGCCCCCTGACTTCTGCCTGGCCCAGCCCTAGCTGTTGTGACCATTTGGGGAGTGAACAAGCAGATGGAAGATCTCTCTCCCTCTCTCTCTTTCACTCTGGGTCACACAATTTATGAGCTTTGGAGCTGGGATCTGAAGCCAGGCAGTCTGGATTGGAATCCACCTATTTACTGCTATGTTTTTTTTTTTTAAGAATTATTTACTTATTTTGAAAGGTAGAGTTACAGAGAGAGAGAAAGGGGGAGAGAGAGAGAGAGAATCTTCTGGCTGGTTCACTCCCCAAATGGCCACAACAGCTGGAGCTGAGCTGGTCAGAAGTCAGGAACCAGGAGCTTCTTCCAGGTGTTCCACATGGTTGCAGGGGCTCAGGGACTTTAGCCATCCTCTGCTGCTTTCCCAGGCATATTAGCAGGGAGCTGGATTGTAAATGGAGCAGTTGTGACAAACAAGCACCCATAGGGGACGCTGGTGCCTCAGGCAGTGGCCTTACCCTCTACATCACAGCGCCTGCCCCACTATGTTACGTTGAACAGCAACAATTCCGAGGAGTTTTTATTGAACGTCTACTACCTATCAGACACTAAACTATGCATGCTCAAGGTAACCTCTGCAGGAGAAACTACCGAAAAGCTTGGTTATGGGTAGTAACCTGAGCACTCTCTGTGAAAGTCTTTTTTTCTTTTTTTTTTTTTTTAACTTTGGGAAATTAATTTCCCCAAGATCACAAGGAGAGTGACGGCAGATCCTGAGTGGCAGCTGCCTGACTTAAAAACCCACCTTCCTCACGGAGGAGGGTCTAAGGTGGGCTGCAGCCATTTCTAGGGAGCCGCGGGAGGCAGGGGCAAGTTGGGGGCCCACCACATCTCACCAGAGGGTATAGGCAGCAAAGAAAGGCACGTAAAAGGGCTGCTTCTCAGGGAAGTGGCGCAGGGAGACGAGCACAGCATAGCAGAACCACACGTAGGCAGCCACCTGCAGCCCGATGAGCCCGTAGCCGGCTGGAGACTCGTATGTGTACAGTACCTGACCTGGGTCGAAGAACTGGACCCACAGGAGAGGGTTCATCATAGCCCTGGCTTCCTGCCTTCCATCAGGGTCCCTGAACCCCACCCGTGGGCCCCCAAGGGAGCAGCGGGAGAGCCAGGGATAGATACAAGAGCATACAGAGAGAAAGAGGGGGAAAAGACAGGGAGAGAATACATCAGCTGCCATGTGCCCCCACATGGGGGCTGAACACCTCCCATGTGTGAGCTTTTCTATCGGGATCAATTCATCGAGGCAGGTCTTCCTATCACCCCACTTCACACAGCTGACAGGGAAGCCCTTTGGCCAAAGCCTGCTGGTGACACAAAGCCTTTGAGGAGCACCCCCCCACACCGGCACCCAGGGTAGGGAAGAGCCTCCTGTTTTTCCAAAGAAGAAAAGAGAGGGGGTTCATCACCCAAGGCCAGCCAGCTAGGAAGTGGGAGAGCCACAGTGGCATCCAGGTCTGCAAGGACTCTTCGACACGGAGCACAAATGTGACCGCCGTGAGAGACGGTGGGAGCTACTCAGGGACGTGAAGAGAGGAGGGCTCACTTAGACAGACAGGAAGGTGGAAAAGCAGAGTGGCAGAGAGAAAGCTGGATTGCCTGGAAGGGCGCTTTGTGCAGAGGGACCCGCGGACAGGTCAGCCACCCAGAGCTTTGAGGAGGGGGCGGGAGAGGGGAGGGGCCCAGCAGGGGCCTCTGGGACTCACTTCCGCCTCGTAGATGAGCAGCACCACGTGGGTGAGGGTGTACAGGGTCATGTAGATTGACAACTTCACGGAGCCTGAGTGGCTGATGCGGCCCCTGGCGGCAGGCCATGAGGGGAGACAGCAGGGGTGGGGGCCGTCAGGGAGGAGGGGGCAGCTACCCCCCAGGCCCACCCCCACCCGGCTCCCCAGCCCCGCCGCCCCGCCAAGGGCTCCCTGCCCGGGCACCGTGTCACCGTGAATCCCTTTCCCAGGAGGATGAGCATCAGCAGGAAGATGAGGAAGCTGGAGGAGAAGAGCACCTTGGCTGGGAGAAGGGAGGAGAGGGCGGCTCAGGCGGCTCAGAGCGGACCCCGCCCCAGCCCCCAGCCCCCAGCCCCACCGCGTTCTCACCCAAGATCTTCACACTCTCGTTGCCAATGCCGTCGGTGGCATACTGGCCCCAGTAGATGCAGAAAAACAGGAGGCTCAGGACTAGGATGGGGGATGAACACAGAGGAAAGGGGCAGAGACCACCCCTCAAGACTCCAGGTCGGTCACTGCCCTTGACCTGCCAAGAGACTTGGGTGTCCGGCCCCCTTGCCCCGCGCCCCTCCTCCCTGGGGACCTAGGAGCCCAGGTTCCTAGGCTTTCCGCTGTCAGTCCCAGACCTCAGGGCCCCACGTCCCTCCTCCCACGGAACTCGCGAGCTGGGACAGGCTAAACCTCACCCTCCACTCCTGCGGCAGCCATGAACATTTTGTAAGTGGTATGGAGTAACTGACGGCCCTTCAGCAGGTCTGGAAAGCGGGGCAGGGAAAGGCTCTTCAGGGACAGAAGGGAGGACAGCCCCTCTCCCCTGACCCTGCTCCCGTCCATGTGCTGGACTCACATCCAAAATAACAGGAGAGGAAGAAGATGAGGATGAAGATGAGGAGGAAGGTCACATCTGTCTCCAGGATCCCTGCCCACGTGGCGAAGAAAGAAACAGTTTGGTCCCCAGCCTGGCACCCAGCCTTGGACTCCACAGGCAGCCCAAATGGGGTCCCATTTGCTCACCAAACTCATCGGCCGAGAAGTGCCGGGTCCAAAACGACTTGCCATTGGTGAGGACCATCTCATACTCCAGCTGCAGCCCATCTCCCTGTGGGGAGGGTGCAGGCCTCAGGGTGGGGGCGCCCTGGGCAGGGGGGGGCACCAAGAAAGCAAAGAGGAGAAGGCCCTGGGGGCTGCCGCAGCCCCTTACCCCGCACTTGCTGAGAGCGATGTACCACCACCTTTCGCGCACCGAGCGGAAGCTGCGGCCGCTAGAGCAGCTCAGGTAACGGGTCCCGGCCTCTGACACTACCTGAGGAGGGGCGAGAAGGCTGAAGCCTGGCCCCCAGGCCTCCAGGCCTGAGACCTCCAGGACTCCCCTCCCCCTGGGACTGGGCCCACACCTGACAGCCTGACCAGGCGTACTGGGTGGTGAGGTTGATGACCTGGTTGTTCTCCGGCCTGATCACTGACTCCTTGGCCAAGCAGTCCTGGGGAAGGCAGGCACAGGGTCACTCCCTGGCCAGCGGTGGCCTTTTCCCCATCCTCCTACCCCCTCCTCACAGCTCTCACCTTGTCGCCTGCTTTGTACACGGCTGGCCACTGGGAGGGGTCATCGAAATAGAGCAGGATGTTCTGACAGCACTTGGCCTGCAGACCGAGAGATGGGGGGCTTGGGGGAGTGCAGAGGCCTCGGGGACCCCCTGCCTGGGGAGACCAAAGGAGTAAAGTATCCAAGCCCCGGGATGCCAGGTGACAGGGGAAGACTCACTTCAGGGTAGCGGAAACGGAAGTCCAGTCGGCCGTAATCCGAGAGGAAACAAAATCTTGTCAGGAACACCCAGTCCTAGAAAAGGGGTCTGGTCACACCCTCTTCTGAGTCCCTACAGAACTCTCTTCCGCTGGAGACCCCCAACTTTTCTTCCCTCCCCTCGGGTTCCTGGCTTCCCAGGCACTGCGAGGAGACCAAGTCACCTCCAACATTCTTCCCAGGTCCCTTCCCTGTGTGTCCTGGACTCCTGCTGCCCTGATTTCTCCCCCCTCGGAAGCCCCCCGCGTTCCTCCCCTCCCCTCCCCTCCAAAACCCTCCTTCGCCTTCCCCAGGCACCGGGAGAAAGACCCTGGAGAGCCAGGTGTGCGTCCTGGCCGCCTTGGGTCCCGGACACCATCCAAGTGCCATTGCCCCAGTCCTGGTCCCAGAAACCATCCCGTGCTGCAGAATCTTCCGCACGGCCCCCTCCTGGTCCTGAGCCGAGTGCGCCGAACTCAGGGCTCTCCGCGGAGTGCAAGTGCTGTCCCTTCAGCACCACCTCGGCGCCCTCCCTCCCCCGCGCCAAACTCTGACTCTGCCAACCCGCGCCCCATCCCCACCCAGCTCTGACCTCAGCGTCCCTCCTGCAATCCCCAAGTCTGGCCCGGACCCCCACGGGCCCCCACAGCCTCCACCCGGCCCAGCCCCCATCGCCCCTGGCCCCATCTCCCGCGGATCCCCGGGTCCGCTCGGGAGGGGCGGCAGGGGGCGGGGCGGCACCCTCTCCCCTCAGGTCTCCCCGGGCCCGCCGAGCGGCGGGGGACCCCCGTGTGCTCACCTCCTTGGAGCTGAGGTTGCCCCGCACGTACTTGGCCCGGGCGCGGGGGGGCAGCGGCAGCAGGAGGAGCAGCAGCGGCGGCAGCAGGCGGCGCAGCGCGGGCGCGCGCAGGGGCTCCATTCCGCCGCTCCGGCCCCGGCTCCGCTCCAGCTCCCGCTCCGGCCGGCGACGGAGGCGAGAGCGCGCGGGCCGGACAGCGCGCGTCCCCGATTAAAGGGGCCGCCGGGCGCTGCGCTCCCCGCCCCTTCTCCGGGGATGGCCCAACCTGGTGGAAGAAGACGCCCCTTTCCCATCCTCCATCATCCCACCCCAGTGCTCCGCTCTGGGAGTCTCGCGGATCGAACCCACATCCCCCAAGGTGTGCCTTCTTCAAACTGCCTCCCTAGGGATGGCCCACTGTCCCCAGGCCCGACCTGTGTCCTGACCTCATCCCAATTTAGTCCCAAAAGCAGTCTTTGATTGTCCATCCCCACCCCAATGGCAGCACCCCCAGCTCTGTGTCCATCCTCCAGTTGCCAGCTTTCCAAATGCTATGCTCACAGACACAGAGGCACAAGAGAGGGCAAGATATTTGATCCGGGCCCCACACGGAGGCAGCAGAGCCCTCAGCCACAGCCCCCGTACCCGTCTGCCTGATCCATCCTGTCTCTGCTCACCAGCATGGAGAAATGGGCTGTTAAGAGACAGGGGTGGTGGGGTCTGACATCCAGGAGCATGGGCACCAGAGTGAACTGCCTGTGTTCAAATTCCAGTATTGCCGCTTCCCCACCCTAAGACCTTGAGTCATCCAGCCCTGTGGTCTCCCAGTCCAGTCCCCAGAGCCTGTGGACCGTGAGGTTTCCCACTGGGCAAGAGGGAGAAAACCACTCAGCTTGATATTCCTGACCGGACTCCAGGAAACATTTTATTATTTATTTGAATAGCAGAGAGAGGGGGGATCTTCCATCTGCTGGTTCACTCCCCAAATGCTCACAACAGCCACACCAAAGTCAGAGCCTGGAATTCATTCCAGGTCTCCCACCCAGGTGGCAAGGACCCTAGCATCTGAGCCATCACCCGCTGCTCTGCAGGGTGCACAGTGGCACAAAGCTGGTTTGGAAGCAGGGCCAGGACTCCAATCCAGGGGCTCTGGGGTGGGATGCGGGCACCTGACGTGGCACCTTAACTACTGTGCCACACCCCGCCCCTGCAACAAACATTTCTTGCTTCATCCCTCACTTTCCACCGCAGAAAATCTGCTGCTATTCAAGACACCATTTTAGAAAACTTTCTAAGCCAAACATCCAAGCAGGGAAGACGCATGGGCCTCGAGGGTGGGGGGCTTCTCTGCTCCATGGTGTTGTTGCCAGCAAGGACTGCAGGGGTGCTGACAGATCTTTTCTGAGAAAATTCAGAAATGCATATTTTTAAAGAAACTGTCTAACAGGCAATTGATTCAGACATTTAAAACACTGTGGCAGGGTGGGGGCTTTGCGGGGCATTCAGCCCTAATCGCCACTCCTGCCCTGGTCGTGTGCATTGTCCCCCCTGCCCACCAAACCAGCAGGCCTTCAAGGGCAGGTCCAGATGTGAACCACTCTGGATCCCAGCACAGCGTAAGGATCTGCGCTGAAGGACAATGCTCCTCCACCCCCTTTCTGGCTCCTCCAGGCCTTGCACGGGGTGTTTCCCCTGCCCAAATCATCCTTGTCCTCCCAGATTAGCAAACATCTACCAATCTTGAAAACTACAGGGTCTCTGTGGGCTCCTCTCTGAAGTCATCACTCCCGCCTTGGCCTCTCCCAATCCCTGCACCTCTGTCTCCCAGAAGCAAGCAGTGGAGCTGGGACTGCACCTCCAGGAGTCGCATGGGGACAGGGTCTCAGTCTTGCCCACTCTGGGGACCCAGCATCAGCTCAGAGTTGGACACCCAACTAGCCACTGTGAGTACAAGACTGATTACAGCCCAGGTTTCCCAGTCCTACTGGGCCCCAGAGCCCAAGAAGGTCACAAGTGACAGCACCTTCCCTTCCATCTTGAATCTAGAGCTCAGCGTTGAGAAGAGCTGCTCTCCCGCGTCAGCCACTCAGGGAAGAACCAGGGGACCATGAAGAAGGTACTTTATTGAGATGACCAGGACTGTGGGATACTTGCCCTAGCCCCAGCCTCGGCCTCTCAGTACAGTCTCATGGGTGGAAAGGACCAGGCTTCCGGACTGCTCTGGGCCACCACCCAGGAGAGGCTGGGCAGTGGGGCAGGGGGGCTGGGGCTCCAGTCCAGGGCAGAGGTTCGAGGCATCAAGGGTGATGGCAGCTGAGGTAGGGGCTGTGGTGGGCCAACCCCCCAGGGCTGGGGAGGGGGCGGTGTGCCTACGAGCCAGATGCTTTTTAGCAGGTCAAAGGCTGTTGGGGGACCCCAGGCCACCTTGGACGGTGAAGAGAATGAGGGCAAAGGGGGTGGCCAAGGACCTCTCGGTGGTGCCAGGTTCCCCCTGGGTGCAACGGGAGTGCTGGAGGCGCGAGGCATGGTGAAAGCAAGCTCCTTGGTCCCCGGTCGCCGCCTCTGTCTCTCCTCCCCTGGGGTCTGCTCAGCATCGTTGATCCAGGAGGGTGTCATCCTCCGCCTCTCAGGGCCCACAGGCTTGGTCCCTGGCACAGAGGAGAGGAGCACAGGAAACAGCTGAGTGACAGCAGGGATGGGGAAGGGGAATGCAGGGGACAGGAAACGGGCTCACCTTGCAAGGGTGGCTGGCAGCCCCGGAGCACCAGGGCAAGGTCAGGCACACAGCCATGGCAGGCCTGGAGGGTGCCCACAATGGCATCCCTGGCTTCTTGCACCAGGTTCCTCCTGGGGAAAGCGTGCGGTAGAATCAGCTGGCACTGTAACTCTCCTAGAAGCTGCCCCAAGCCAGGGAGCTCTGGGGAACTGGGCGGGCCTGGGCCAGAGCCTCCAGGCACCTGGTTCTCCTTGTCCTTTGACTGTGGGGCTGATTCTTGGACCCTGCCTGGGCTTGGGGAGGGTTTGGAAGGGAGTGGCGGGGTGCCTGGCTCCAGGGATCCACTTTTAAGCAGCCGAGCCACGTCCAGGGATTTCACTTCATGATTGAAGAGACCACGGTGCTCCCGGCTCAGTCGACCCTGGGTTATGACCACGAGCTTGGGGACAGAAGGGGCCACAGGATCCCGCAGGGGTGGAGGTGGATCCTGACTGGCCACAGGAGGATCCTGGTGGGCCAACGGTCGGCGGCTGCCCACTAGGGCCTCATTCCGCTCCCGCCTGGTCTTCCGGCGGCGAACTCGACCAGGTTTCTCAGGCCGCTGGAAAGGCTGGCCGGCATGCCCCCGAGGATCCATGGTGTCCTAAAAAAGAGCGATACAGTGGTCACCAGCATGCAGGTAGGTCAGGATGAGAAGCAGAGTGGATACTGAGAAGAGCAGGTTTGGGGTGAGGTGGAGCTACTAGATAGACAAGAGAAGAGAAGTGGAAGAGAACAGTTGCAACGGGTGTGGTCAGGGAAGGAGTCAGGTGGACGAGGTCAGGACAGTCATGGTTAATGGGGTGAGGCATCCGGGCATCGGAGAATGGATAAAGAGCTGGAGAATGGGGAAGGGATCCTGAAATTGAAGAGATCTGGGGACCAACAGGGATTTTAAGGAGAAATCCAGCCTGAAATTGCAGAAAGTGCTGAGATGGCCGCGAAAGAAAGGCAGGAAAGCAAGAGCAGCAAGAGACGTTGTGGAGAGTCCGAGAAAGGGAGACGGAGGAGCCATCAGGGACAGGGGCCTGGTCATGGGGGGAGGCTCGGGGTGGGACACGAAGCAGATGGGGCAGTTGAGGTAAAGCAGGGGGCAGAGTAAAAGGGGTGGGGCACGGTTGGTGGGGGAGGGGCACCTCACCCTCTCCTGCACCAACGAACCCCGTCCCCCTCCCACCCCACGTGGCTGTAGGGCGCAATGGCTTCTCCGCGGTGGCGGCGACCCCAGCTTTCGAAGACGCCCGGCGCTCTTCCGGTCCTCAGGCGCACCACACGCATGCGCACGTCCCTCCCGCCCATTCGCTTCCGGGCGCCAGAGACAGGCACGAGGTTCCGGGCCACTCGCTCAGTGGTTGTAGCCCCGCCCCTCGCAGCTTCACTCCCGGGAACCTCTCACTCCACCCACCAATCGGCTGGGCCCACGAGGCTTGCCCCCTCCCTCCTGGATGCTGATTGGCTGAGACGGTAATGGGCGGACTTCGGAGGTCAAAGAGGCGAGGCAGGAGGTGCGAAGTTGAGAAAGGTGGTATCCAGCCGCCTCTGGGCAGCCACAGCCTTCTTCCCTAAAGAATCAACCTCCTGTAGTGTCCTTGTAGGCTCAGGGGCTAGACTTGGTTCAAACGCCCAAATTGTCCCATTTGTGCTGTATGTGACCTCGCAAAAGTGTGTAACTACTGTAACGGTATAATATAACCCGCGTCTTTTCTTTCTACCTGCCCAGTCTTCATCATGTTTCAAACCCAGCTCGGATACCACTTCTAGGAAACCCCTGGCCCCGAGTCTTCCTCCCCTAGAGGTTCCCCGAGCCTCCTTCAATCACAGCTTTGGCGCACCCCCACCCCCACCCCGCGCCACAGCACTTGCTGGATCTGTCTCCCACAGTACACTGGGATAAGGCCAGGATCTCACCCATTCATTGAACATTCATTCAGCAAGTATTGTTGATCAGCCGCTACCAGCATGTGCCAGACCCGCCTCAGGGGAGGCAGAACAAAAACACAATAAATAAGGCTCTTCTCTGTCTCAGTATCAATCTACCAGAATGAATGGGATGATGGCAAGGTCCAACCCAGGAGTGAGGCTACAGGAAAATGATGTGTAGGGAGGAGTGAGAACCCCCTACACTCACACACACACACCTGGCCCCCAAGAACAGGGAAATCTGAGTAGACACTTAGCTCGGAGGTTAATGTGAGCTGGGAGGGGGAGAGGCACCACCCCAGGTGGCCTTGACTTGTTTCAGAACCCCAGACAGAACACCCAGCTGAAGTTGTTGGTCTGAGAACCAGATCTGCAAGACGATCTGCGGGAGGGGCGCCAGGCTGGAAGCCAGCCCTGCTGGGTCTCTAATTTCCTTTCTCTTTCTGTACCTTTTGCTACCCTCCATGCAGGTCCTGTGGTATCTTGAATGCAAAGATAAGCAGTTTAGATTGTAAGTCTGTCCGTCTATCTCTGACGTTCTGAGCAGAGGCAGCCCAGGAAAAGGTAGGCTCACTAAAGCACAGGCTGCCTTGGAATGTCTCCTTAGAACTAGGCCGCCCATTTTCACATTTTGCCATGTTCCATTTTTGTCCCCTACGTCGGTAGAAAATGGGAGCGTCCCTTCCCAGGTGCATACGAGCCACCCTCTCACGGATCCAAGAATGGACTCTTCCACTAGCTCCCCTCCCCCCACCACGTGAATGGGGCGCCCCCCCCCACCCCAGTAGGTGGTCCCTGCCACACTTTCCTCGCCCTACAACAAATGGTTTCTTCCCTCGAGGGAGAGCGCTAGAGTTTCCCCGCCCATTTCTGGGTTTTCAGGTGCTTCGCCCCTCCCCGTGACACCAGTGGGTGGTTTCTTCCTCCTCCCCGCCGCCGAGCCGGATGGTCTCGCCTGCCCCGCCCCCAGCGCTGGGGAGCGCCCGCCGCCGCGTCGGCCGGGGAGTGCGTGGCCGGGCGGGAAGCGCGGACGAGCCCACTGCGCGGCCGCGTGGGGGAGGCGGCCGCCCTCCTAAGTGAAGGTTTCCGCCTCTGGAGGGGAGGCGGGGCTCTGGCTGGGCCTCCGGCCTCGGCGGGAGGGAGTCGGGACCGTCCATTGTTGCCTGGAGGGGTAAGGGTGGGCGTGGCAGAGCCGCCCCTCCTCCCGGAGCACTCCCGGGCCGACCTCGCCCGCTCACCCTGCAGGAGCTGGGGCGCCGAGATGAGCGGGGAAGAGAATCCAGCCAGCAAGCCCACGCCGGTGCAGGACGTGCAGGGCGACGGGCGCTGGATGTCCCTGGTGAGCGATCCTTAGGGGTCCGGGCGGTGGTGGTGGGGGTCTCATGAGAACCCCTGGTTCCTGCGGGGAGCCTAAGGAGGCAGGGCGGGGCCGGGCCAGGCGGGGAGCGTGCGTGTCTTTGACTCCCCCTCGCGCGTCCCCGCAGCACCATCGGTTCGTGGCGGACAGCAAGGATAAGGAACCCGAAGTTGTCTTCATCGGGGACTCTCTGGTCCAGCTAATGCACCAATGTGAGGTGAGGCCTGGCCCCGTGCTCCTGCCCCACCCACTCCGCGCCCTGGCTGACAGCTATGGTTTATCAGAAATGGGGCACCGAGGTGCAGCGTCCCCCCAGAGGAGGCCCTGCGTGTCCTCACTTCGTCAGAGCCTTTCCTGTAAGCAGGCCGCCCAAGGTGTGGCTTTTTATTGTTTGCTGGCACAAAGCCGCAGTCACTCCGGCCCAAGTCAAGGCCAGCTGGGACAGGAGCCCAGCCTTCACCTTTACAGGACGCGGGGTCCTCACGCTGAGGTCCCCCTGTGATGTGTTGGATGGCTCGAACCAGAGCAGATTCCACAGAATGAGTCTACAGTTTGGTTTAAAGTGAGATTGCACCATCCTGCTTCCATAAAGCAAGGTTCTTCCATGATGGCACTTGGTTAACACCTGGGGGGTGGGGGCGTGGTCCCTGCTGCTGATGCCCCTGTGCCCCACAGATCTGGCGGGAGCTCTTCTCTCCTCTGCACGCGCTTAACTTTGGCATTGGTGGCGACAGCACACAGCACGTACTGTGGCGGCTGGAGAACGGGGAGCTGGAACACATCCGGCCCAAGGTGAGTGGGGGCGAGAGTGGGAGCCGGGTACACCTTCTGCCTGCCCCCTCACTGTCACGTCAACCTTCACGCCCCTCTTTTCACAGATCGTGGTGGTCTGGGTGGGCACCAACAACCACGGGCACACAGCAGAGCAGGTGACCGGTGGCATCAAGGCCATCGTGCAGCTGGTGAACCAGCGGCAGCCGCAGGCCCGGGTCGTGGTGCTGGTGAGAGACGCTGGGCGAGGAAGAATGGCAGTGGTTTGGGACCCCTCAGATGTAGCCGCAGTTGGCACAGTCGTGGGCACCTTGGCGCAGAGCAATGGTTTTCAGGCAAAAAAAAAAAAAAAAAATCTGTCAAAGTTTGCGACGGCTGTCAGAACGGCCATGGTTGAAGATGTGATTCGGGACCCCAAGGGGCTGCTGGAGACACTGGAAGGGTTAAAAATCCTTAAAACACTTGAGTAACAGAAGCCCTCCGGCATTCCTGAGTGAAGCAGGGCCCATCGCTTCTAGCTGTTCCCTTCTCAGAGCAGATCGACCCCTTGCCACGGCGTCAGCATCTTTATGGCTGACGTCGGGCACCCAGAAGGTTCTTGCTGAGTGGAGGCTGGGGTGCAGCCGAGCTACCCCTCTTTTCTCCCTACTCCCATTCCTCTCATATTTTGCTTCTGGGGTCTCCATGGTTGGGGGGCAAAGGACAGCCTGGCACAGAGGACAGGGCATGCCAAGGTGCTGGGAGGACATCTTTAAACTCTTGGTGTTCCTCCACAGGGCCTGCTTCCGAGGGGCCAGCACCCCAACCCGCTTCGGGAGAAGAACCGACGGGTGAATGAGCTGGTCCGGGCCGCACTAGCAGGCCACCCGCGGGCTCACTTCCTGGATGCTGACCCCGGCTTTGTGCACTCAGATGGCACCATAAGCCACCATGACATGTACGACTACCTGCATCTGAGCCGCCTGGGCTACACACCCGTCTGCCGGGCCCTGCACTCCCTACTTCTTCGTCTGCTGGCCCAAGACCAGGGCCAGGGTGTTCCTCCATCAGAGCCCACGCCCTAGGCATCCTGTCTTTCCACAACATTAAATTCTCCTTCCTCAGTCTCTTGTTTTCCTGCTTTCTGGGTGAGTCTATCCGGGCACTGCCGCCAGCCAGATCCTCTCCTGATCTGCAGTGCCGCAGCTGTACAGGGTGGTTCTAGTTCTGCCCAAGGCAGGCCTCCATCACGGGACTCTGGTCCTTGTGGTCAGGTGTGTTTCTGTGATCATAGCTTCAGCCAATATGCTAAGGGAATCCAGCCTTCCAGCACCACCGCACAAGGTCAAGGCAGAACGCTGAGGACATGGTGACCCCACACAGCCAAAGCCCACCTTAAGTCATCCCTCCAGAGCCTGCATTCACTCCTCCCCTATCTGGGACTTATGCTGCTCTGGCCCCAGTTTAGAGGCCACTTCCTATGGAGGCTTCCTGGCCCTTGCAGTAGTTGTCCCTTCAGACAGGGTGTGACTGTCTTCCCCAGGCGGGTACAGTCCACAGACTGAGTGAAGAGTGTAACCCAGCACAGGATCTCACTGGCCTGCTGTAGTGTTGAGCTGGGCCACATGGGGGCAGCAGGAGTCACTGAGGACAAGGCACCACGGGTGGGCCAGCCACGTGCCACCTCTACTCTTAGGACCTCTTGGGGCTGTAAAATGACTTTGGAGCCAGTGAGGGTGAAACGCTGACACCCCCCTGCTCTCAGGCCTTCCCCAAACTCCTGTCAGGTGGTGGAGAAAGGGGCGAAGTCCACATCATGGTTCCCTGGCTGCAGAGGGGTTGCCTGGTACCTGTTGCTGGCTCCACTTTGGAAAGTCCACTGCCCCCCCACCAGCCACCTGAGACTGGTGTGACCAACACCCCTCCTCTTTAGAATGGGCAGCCACACAAGTGTGTTAAACAGCTTTAATCTCGGTCATTGCGGCTTCTCGGCACAGTAAGAAATATTGCACATGATCAACATGTTTTGTTCTGGGGATGGGGCATGGGTGGGGGAATCACCTTCTTAGAAAGTACAACCCAAGTTGGGAGGGCAGAGGGGGTGGGGAGGGAACCCTCCCCATGCCTGTGGCAAAGTGCAGGAGCCCCCACCCCCAAACTAACCTGAGTCCAGCCCCTCTGGGGAAAAAAGGGGTACATGAACTCCCCCTACTCCACAGGCGCCTCCCTGTGGCCGATGGCCCGCACTACCCTCCAGCCTGCAGCCCTCTCACGAGCCATTTTGCATAAAGTACAAGTGAAAAGCTCTGAAGGTCATACTCCAGGTTCGGTACAGGGGCTCAGCGGAGGGAGACTGTGCCCCTGCTTTCCCTCAGCTGCCCCCCAGCACAGGGTGGGAGCTGGGGGGGAGGGGTATATACATGAGGAGCAGGCCTCATTCCACCCCCAACTGGAAAGGACAAATGGCTTTACTGGGGAGGAGGTAACCATCCTGCCCCCCCATTCCTGCCACCTATGTACTGTCCATGTCCTGATGGGGGGGAGGGTACTGTGGGTCCTGGGATCTTCTCAAGGGCCCCTCACCTGCCTGTGGCAGCTGTGGAGGGGCCTGGGGGAGGGGGAGAGGTCTGGGAGGCCCCCTCCCAGCCAGGCTGTCCAGGGCCCGGCTCTGGGGGTGGAGGCAGTGGCGGGGCAG